AAAAAAAAAAAAAAAAAAAAAATCGAGCCCAGAACCGTTAGCTCTAAAGCTCTTAACCCTGTAGGCCCTAAAGCCCGAACATTCCGAACCCCAAAACCCTCTCAGGGTCCCTGTAAGGGTCCCTCTAGGGGTCCGCCTTAGGATGTCGTTTAGGGTTTATAGGGTTTAGGGCTTTGGGGTTATAGGGCTTCGGGCGTCCCCCAAAAATGCTGCGGCCAGGCCACCAACACAGCATTGGCTCCGAGTTTGGCCTTGGACCTCGATGCCAGGATCTGGGTTCATGTCAAGAGCTCCGTTAGGGCTCCATGAAGGTTTGGGGCTTTAGGGTTTAGGGCTTAGGGGCTTTAGGGTTTAGGGTTGAGGGTTAAGGGGCTTTAGGGCTTTGGGGGTTGCTGGCTGAGGGTTTGATGGTTGAGGAATCCTTGAATGGAAGGTCCCTGAAGGGAACCTTGATGGTTCTACGATTCTACAGCAGGGATACCATATAACCATAATATGGGGTCTAGAGTTTAAAGTCTAAGGCTAGGGTTTGGGGCGCAGGGCTTAGGGATCACGGCTCCCTAAACCCCGGGACCACGGCTCGAGCGGCTTTAAGACGTTTGGAGGCTCTGGGTAGAACTGTGGAGGGTCTGAGAGTCCCCTAAACCCTAAACCCTAAACCCTAAACCCTAAACCCTAAACCCTAAACCCTAAACCCTAAACCCCAAACCCTAAACCCTAAACCCTAAACCCTAAGGGTGTATACGGCGCCTTTCTTCTAGGGTTTATGGGCCGGCGGCTTGCCGGCTGAAGGCGTGGAGTGTTACGGCTAAAAACATGCGGGCATTCTGACGGAGTTTGGGGGTGCGGCAAATGCAAAACTCTATACCCTAAACCCTAAACCCTAAACCCTAAACCCTAAAGGCACCAGATTTAAGCAAAACGGCATCTTAGTGCGGCTACTGGTTTGGGGCTTAGGGTTGTATGCCAGACAAAACACTTCACAAAACATGCTCTTAAGTTAGGGCCCCAAAGTTTTAGAATACCGTTTGGGGCATCGTATACGATCGTTGTAGTACGGAGCCCCAAAAAAGCATTGGTAAGTCTTGGTAACCAATTATCAGTTAGGCTCCTATATGGGTAGTTGTCAAAATTATGGTCCCTTTTTGGGTACCCTAAATAATAGGTGCCGTACTATATTAGGGACCCAAAAAGGGACCCTAAACCCTAAANNTTTTGACAACCACCCATATAGTACCACCAAGCCGATCTTTTCCATGGCCCTCTCATGTCCGAAGACCAGGACCCGCTCTAGGAAAACCCATCAACCGAGTGCTGCACCATCCCCACTCGTTCTGAGACCCGTCCTTGGTGAGATAGGAAGGAGATAGGGGCCTTGGATGTTAGGGTTTAGGGTTTAGGGTTTAGCGCTTAGGGTTTAGGGTTTAAATGAAGGTTTCAGTGCATAGGCCTGCCATCATAAAGCTTCGGGTGCCGGGGCTTTTGGGGTTGGGGGTGTGCGATGTGCGGCTTTTGGCGAATTTGGGGTCGGTTGGGCCTGCAGGCTTGCGCCTCAGGGTGGGATGTGGCCACCCAGAGACTCCCAAACCCCATGACTGAGGAATCGTCTGTATAGTTATTCAGAGATTCTGGTAAGACCTCACTGCTACTGCAACTATTTCACCCGCCTTTAGCTTTCAGAAGCATCATCTAAAGGCCCTGCGCGTTCCCCTAAACCCTAAACCCTAAACCCTAAACCAGAAATGAGTGCCGCAAATGCTCCAGCTCTCACGGCTGCAACGAAGAGGCTCAAGCAGCCGTGCTGGCGTTAATTCTGTTCAGTCGGAAGCTTCCGTCGAGGTACCCAGAGAACCCAATACCCCTTAATTAGGGAATATGCCTTAAAATACAGGGGCCTTACTAGTATGATTTAAAGTATATTCCTTAATTAAGGGGTATTGGGTCCTCGGGGTAGTTTAGGGTGTACTATAGTGGCCAGAACGATTACCATGAGGTCCTGGGTATGTTGTACTAGAAGTATATTGAAGACCATCAGGGAATGCTGGCAGTAATTCTTCCGACCCATGAGGAGCCTGGGCTCTTGATTTTGACGTAGGGTTGCGCTTCGTCCCCTGAGCCCTTGAATCCCAAACCCGGCCCTTAAAAAATAAAAATAAACCCCAAACCTTGAACTCTAAACCGTAAACCTAAAACTTAAACCCAAACCCGCCCAAATCCTAAACCTAAATCTTCAGCCCAAACCCTAAGCCCTGAGCAAAATCTTAAACCCTAAACCCTAAACCGTTGGATTTTGGAGTCTGGGTGTAGCATCCTAAAACCCAACTGCGACCAGGGAGGCGAGAGTTTCCACCATCAGCTTGTCGATCTCCGTCTGCTTGGTGACCTGGTGTCACGGCAAAGGGCTTAGGGTTACTAGGGCATATAGAGCTTGGGGTGTAAGGTTTAGGGTTTGATGGTTTAGGGCTTAGGGTTTTGGGGTTGTAGGGCTTCGGGTTTAGGGTTTGTAGGGCTTAGGGTTTAGGGTTTATGGGCTTAGGGTTTAGGGTTTATAGGGCTTAGGGATTAGGGTTTCTTGGGCTTAGTGTTTAGGGCTTATAGAGCTTCGGGTTTAGGGGTTTAGGGTGTAGGGTTTAGGTTTTGGGCTAAGGGTTTAGGGATTTAGGGTTCAGGGGGTTGGGGTTTAGGGGTTTAAGGTTTGGGCGAAACGTTGCTGTCTGTCGTGAGTTTGGGGGTTTGGAGTTTTCGGGTTTAGGTCTTATGGGGCTTCAGCAATCGGGAGTGGCATTTGCAGAATTCCCATGACCTGATATAAAACGTGCATGCGATGTATGTGTGTGAACTCTGTATATATATATATATACATACGCACACATATCATAATCATCATACATATTACAGACATGTAGATGCATGCAGCATGCATGCCTACATGCAGGTGCACAAGCACGAACAAAGCGACGCATGCAGACGTAATTCTCCCCCAAAGGCAAGTATCATCTCATGAGTCACACTACTGATATTCTTGGTTCCCCAGTAGCCCCTGCTTAGGGACCCCAAACCCTAAACCGCCGATACCCTCACGGATGCCTTTCAATGAACCCTTTAGGAACCCTTAAAGGATCCCGTTAAAGGAACCCCTTTCAGGAACCCGGAAAGGAACCCTTGCAGGAACCCTTGCACGGGAGCCTCTAAGGGCAAGAGGGTATACTACGGACCTACTTGGAGGGTCGGGGGACTTAGTATGGAGTTCGTTTATAGAGTTAGAAGAACCATAACCCCACTTGGGATCCACCTTCGGGCACTTAGAACTCTACTTATTACCTACCTACCAAGTCCCCGGACCCTCCAATTGCTCCTACACCCCTAAACCCTTCTAGATCCCTTGAAGAACCCCTCAAAGGGACCCTCCAAGTACTGCTAACCTTACACCCTAAACCCTAAACCCTATTTCCCCGGGAGCCTCCATTCCGATCAACTTTGGAGCGATGATGTCATTGACGTTGGCCACGGCCTGCTCGAGGAACTAGGGACTGAGAGCTTCCACGGCTGTAGGGGTTCAGGGTTCAGGGGTTTAGGGCTTTAGGGTTTAGGATTTTAGGGGTTCCACGGCTGATGATATAAATCCTGCATTACGTACCCATAATGGGGAATATACCATAATTAATTCCCATGGTTTAGGGTCCTTAAGGTAATGCAGGATCTATATCATCCACAGTATCACGGATAGTTTAAGGTTTAGTATGGCGGCCTTGATAATAAGAACCCGATGCAGCCACATCTTGGGCGCAAAGAGTTTGATTGGGGGAGCTGTTTCCTTAAAGATTACTCGGAAATGCGCGCGCATCCCGGTATTTGTTGCCGCCAAGTTGTTTTGCTCTTGGTTCGTGATGCCGCCATGCTTGATTTTTCTTGGTTTGCGACAGCTCTGGCATTTAATGTAGGGACCTGTCCTCTTCAGCATATATACACGGGATCGGCTTTTTGCCGATATGTCCGATGCTTGGGCTCTACGATAAAAGGTGTAGCAGTGTGGCACGTCCTCCTGCAGTTCCAGTCAGACCCGAAACAAACAAGTAATAAGAGCGTAATGCAGGGGCCTTAATGATTAGAATAAGGCTTTGACTATAGCGAGGTGCCCTAAGGAAAATGTAGCATCAAAAATTATACGGGCTTCTATATATCATATCTGGGCAGAACTTAGTCAAGAGCTCCCGAAGCTTGACAGTGACCTAATGTGCAAGTCTCAAGATCCGAAAAGCTCTGTCGCATTCTCGGCTCCAGGCGGGGCTTGCCGCTCTGTGAGCAGTAAACCCTAAACCCTAAACCCTAAGCCCACCACCACCTGGTGCTTCCCAGGATGGTATGTTGAAGCTGCTGCTGCTGCTGCTGCTGCTGCTGCTGCTGCTGCTGCTGCTGCTGCTGCTGCTGCTGCTGCTGCACGTCCTGAGGGATATATACCCTAAACACTAACCCCTAAACCCCTAAGATATCTCCAAACTTCCTGTCACAGACATTCCCTCATGCCATGGAAACCAAAAAGTTCCTGAAGCCCTTGCCAAATTTCATAAAACCCTTCCAAAGCTCTTGTAGAATCCTCACTCGTAAAGTGACGATTTTAGAACGCTTTTAGCCTTGTAGAACTTTTGCAGACCCCATCTAGACTCACATAGAACATGAAAGAATCCTGCTGCCTAAACCCTAAACCCTTCTAGAACTCTAATAGAACGCTTATAGAACTCTTATAGAACTCATAGAACGTATAGCATTCCAGAACACTTGAAAAGGAGAAGCCCGGCCTTCTGGACGCCCTTTCCCAGCAGGCGCTCCTAGCGTCCGCAGCGTCCGGTCAAGGAGGGTTTGGCTAGGGTTTTGCGTTTTGGATTTACGGTTTAGGATTTAGGGTTTAGGATTTAGGGTTTAGGGTTCAGGGTATAGGATTGAAGGCTTAGGGCTTAGGGCTTTGGGTTTAAGGCTTAGCGGTTCAGGGTTTAGGGGGCTATCACTCGGCTTCTAGGAACAGAAGTGCCCTGACTCGATGGCCAAAGCCAGAAAAGGCCCGTGTCCTTCACTCCGTCGCGCAGCTCCAGTGCCTCGTAGATGCCTTGGGATTCGACGGAGGGCAGACCCAGGCTTCGGCAACTAGCAGGGGCCTGAATCGTTCAGAGAAGCTTTTGGCATATGGTATGGTATATGGGTAGTTCTCTAAATTAGGGTCCCCTTTTTGCTTTGTCCCCAACATAATACGAAACTCTTATAAACTGGACCCCCAAAGAGACCCTTATTTAGAGACGAACTACCCATATAGTTCTCATAAGGAGCCCTCAGGAATAGTGAGGCTAGTGTGCCGACCCCAACTTTACAGCGGTGCTTCCAGGCTTCCACGGCATTTTTGAGGCTTCGAAGGGGGTTTAGGGCTTAGGGTTTAGGGCTTCTGGGTGGGAAGGGTGTCGCATACCTCTCTCCGAAACCAAAAGACGTCTGCAAGTCCCAGCTTAACCCATGCTAATATACTACATGATGAACTCCGAATGCTGAAACCTGCCTTTTATCCTAGTCCTAGACCTTCCACCTCGACCCCGGCAACCTCAAACCCGCAACCATAACCCTTAACCGCAAACTCCTACACTCCGAAACCCTTCACCCTGAACTCACATTGAAGCGCGCACCTGTGCTGGCACCGCTGGGCACCGCCGCACGGAAGAGAGCCGTCTGAAGGAGTTCGGGCAATAGGGTTTCTAGGCTACCCAGAAACTTCGAAACGCCTTCATGAAGGGATGTACCTGAAATCATCTCAGATCATATGTGGGGGTGGTCTCTTTACTTTAAGCTGTGTTCATGACCAACGGGATCTTGGAGATTTAGGCTCAAAGGTCTTAGGGTCTATGACTCGAAGAAACGGGCTCAGGCTTATAAGCTTTATTGTTTCAATGTCTAGGGCTTCTGTATGTTTTTGGTTTCGGTTTGTTGGGGATTGAAGCTTACGGGCTGTCAGGTTCAGGATGGCCTCTACAACCACGACCCTAAGCCCTAAACCCAAAACCC